CCGCGCGCCCCCGCCCCGGCGCGGGGCTCACCTTTGTCCGCGCGCCCCCCGCCCCGCGCGCCTGGTACTTTTCCACTCGGCGGCGGCGGCGGGCGGGGGCCGCGGGGCCACGTGACGGGCTCGCGCCCGCTGCGGCACTGACGTCGCCTCCCGCCCCCTCGGCAGGCGCGGCGAGTCCCGCCGGCAAGGACAAAAGAGCGGCCGCCGCCAGCCCCGACCCCCGCCCCGCCAGCATGAGCAGCGCCGAGATGGGCAAGTTCAACATCTCGCCCGACGAGGACAGCAGCAGCTACAGCTCCAACAGCAACGACTTCAGCTACCCCTACCCCACCAAGCCGGCTGCCATGAAGAGGTGAGGGCGCTCCCCGCGGCGGGCGGCACCGGCCGGGGACCCGGCGGTGCCGCGTGTCTCGGCAAATCCCTACGGAAACACGGGAATCACTGCGGCCGGAGACGGGCGCGACACAGCTCCGCGCGCTGACACAGTCGCAGGTGGGATGGTTCTTTCGGGGTTATTCCATCGGTTTTTCCTTTTCCCTTTGAAACGGATTGGAAATGCTGATCGGGAAGTGAATATGCAAGCTGCCCCTAAGAGTCACTAATGATGTAACGTTGGTTTGCAGCCACTATGCGGATATTGATCCAGAAAACCAAAATTTCTTGCTCGACTCCAATCTTGGAAAGAAGAAATACGAAACTCAGTATGTAAGTAGCCGGCGATGACGTTCCAAATAAACAAACAAACAAACAAAAATGTACTGCCAATTTTATGTTTGTTTTAATTCTGAGATGAGTAATAACTTTCTGTTAATTATTACCTATCCGTCTTTCCTCAGCATCCGGGTACTACTTCCTTTGGAATGTCAGTATTTAATCTGAGCAATGCTATTGTGGGTAGTGGCATCCTTGGTCTTTCTTTTGCCATGGCTAACACTGGAATTGCTCTTTTTGTGTAAGTATCTTTTGATTAATCAAAAAAAACCCCATTTTTCTGTTGTGTAATTCATAATGGAAAAATACATGGTGTAAGAATATGAAACCCCTGGAAAACATCCAGTCATTTTCATAGGTGCAGACTTGCATTTTAGGCTTGTTTTAAATTTAAGGATTGTGATACATCAGAAGAACCTGCAAAAATTAAACCAATTCATTGCAAGTTCTGCAACCCTCAAAAACATTTTACAGTGAATTTTACTTGACTTAGCTGTAGCTTCTTCATTAATAACTGATAGACTTCCCCTGAAAGTTCTGTTATCCAAGTCCCAATCAGGGATGTGGTCTTGCTTTCCTCAGCTGACATCACTGTGCCTACAGAGTTATAATGTACTTAACCAATAAAGAAGTCTGTTTTATTGCTGTGCTTTCACTCTCTTCAGGGTTACACCTATAAAAATTTCTGTCTGCCTGCAAGGGAGGGATGTGGAATAACCAGCCTGTCTTTATTGGCCTGTCTACACTGGCAAAAGCTTTGAGGTGTGGGGCAGAACTACAGTAATGTAATTGGAAATGACATAAGGATACAGTTATGTACAGTGCTTTTAAATGTCTTGGGAAAGTACATTTTTCATGTATTGGAGGCAATTCAGCTCAACATGTAGTATCAGTGGCTTGACTGCAAATGAGTATCCGTGGATATGTTTAAAGGAACTTTATGGTTTTATCCTGGAAATAGATGAATGTGGTGAATGTTCAAGAACATGTGAAGAGCAATGTTTAGTTCAAAATTTCCCTGTCTCTGCTGCCAGATTTCCAGAAAGTAGGTCAGATTTACTTCCAGATGTTTCACAGTGTATCGGGTGGTGCTCAAGTTTCCTGAGGAAACTACCTATGTGTGAAGTTCTGACCTAAAGGATTTTAAACATATGGTGATTTGTTAATCTTTTACTGAGATTTTCACTTGCTTAGATGATACTAAGCTGAATGGATGACTTAGCATGAATCTAAAATAGATATTCACGCTCTAAAGATGTTCTGCAGCACATGAATGATAATCAATGTAATGCACATTAGAATGTCTCTGAGGAGAGGAAAATAGAGAATTTAAGGTTAGCTATTTGAACAGATTTCAGGGATCCTGTTGATCCTGTTTTCTGAAGAAAAAAATGTTAAAAACTGTCAATTTAACAATTGGGTGCTAAGGCAATTTAGTTGCTTTTTATTTCCAGATGCTGCATTCATATCTATTTGCACTAGTGCTGTTTCAAAGATAAACTAGCTTGTTACCTTTCAAAACTTGTAGATAGTACAGTTCTGAGGCAGGAAAGCAGTTAATCACAGATGGTGCTGAGGATTTATGATGACAGTGAGGGCATTACAGGCATCCCTTAATAACTAGGTTACAGAATGAGATCCAGATGCAGTTGATTAGGGCAGTAAGTTCTTCGAAGACTGTGGAGGCACTTGTGTAAGTGCTGTGACTTGTCACTTGTGTCAGCACTAAATAAATGAATAGAATGGTTTGGAAGCCAGAAACAGAGTGAGCCTCAAGATGAGTTTGCTGACTGATCTTGTCTGCAGTGTAGGCAGCCATTCCATGTTAGGACTGAGAGGTCCAGGGTCTGTGCTGTTTTAAAGTAGCGTAACCCTGGCACATCTCAGCTGTGCTGTTTCTACCCGATGGCTGAGTCAAATCCTACTTAATCTCTACCTGTCAGAAATAGAGAGGTTTATTTGTGTGCATGTGTTAGTGTTGAATTGGGGCAGTAACATAAATTTCCTACACAGATCTGTGAAACTTCTCTGATCTTTTTGTTTCCAGTTCTTTGTACTGCATTTACTAATTTTACCAACATTAAAAATGACACAAAAGGAAATGTGTTCTGGGAAGCGAAGTTTGCCCTTTTAAGCCATTTTTAATATGCTGATTCTCAGGTTTCCTATTAAGCAAAATGCTTGTATTGGTATAAGAAAGACCAGGTTTTTTTTTTTTTTTTTTTTTTTTTTTTTTTTTTTTAATGCCTTGTAATTTTCCACTGTGTTCTCCAGCAGCCAAGAAGTCCCCCCTAGCGTGCCACTCCAGGAAGTGCATTTGTTGTGGGAGATTTGTTGTTGAGAGACCTGAATTTTAGGTGATGCAAATGTGCTTCTGGAAATAATATGCATTGCCTGTAAAAGCTGTGGGGAAGATAAACAAGCCACTAGCGATTCCCATGTAAGCACATCTGAAGAGTTAACTTTTGAGGAAAGAATTTTTTTTAATGACAATAGATGCGTATTTCCATTTGAAAACACAGCTCCCACTGAGTTCTGAATTTTCAGTCAATTCTTTAAGGCTTTTGCAGTTTCATCTTTACATTAAAAAAAAAAAAAAAAAAAAAAAAAAACCAAAAAAAAAACAACGCAGGTTTAAGCTGAAAAGCTGATTTCTTTTAAGACCAAGAGATAATCTTCACTTCAGCTGTAGTTAGCCTCAGTGTTGAACAAGGACAGGAAGACAGGGAAAAATAGAGTTTCTTACAAGGATGCCAACCTTCCCCCCAACCGGCAGGCATTCCCATTGATACTTTGTTATTTATTGTCAAATGTAGCCAAGTATAATAGCCTGACACTCGGTGCTGCTCATGCCACTTCACACTGAATAGAATCGTTGTTCAAGCCTACATTAGAATTTCTTTGTATGCCTCTGAAATGCAATTTAGTATAAAATCCTTTCTACACATGGCATTAATTGGGTTCTCAGAACACTCTTAACTTACAGACTTACAGTTTCAGAACACTTTAACAGCCCTTAGAATCTACTTTTTCCCAAATAATATTTTAATATGGATAATGTTTATATTTGATACATCTTTATTTAATAGGGTTACAAGAAGTCATTGATGGCTATTACAAATTTGTGTGGTTTTCTCTCCCCAGGATACTCCTGCTGTTTGTCTCAATATTTTCTTTGTATTCAGTGCATCTTCTTTTGAAGACTGCCAATGAAGGAGGTATGGCAATTACTGTTTTACAAATATGCAGTATTTGTTTCTTATGGTATCTTCTTGAAATGCACCCTTCCAATGGGATATCATATTTTC